TTTTTACTATTTTTCTTCTTCTTAGCTTTACTAAAAAACGCTTATACTAGCACATTATTAAAAGTAATCTACTGCATTCAAATATGCAACAAAAAGCCAAAACATTTCAACACTACATTCTTTATAGCAATCCCTTGGAACCACATTGCTACAGTCCTTTCCACCGCACATTGATTTAGTCTGACTTGCTAAAACTTGATGTCACTTAAACTGAGATTTAATTCATGCTTCTAATGCTGACTGCTTTCTTTTGAAGCTCAGACTGTGGTTTTAGTCTCAGGTGTGGCAGGTGGAACAGTGCAGTCAGTCTCAGAGCTGTTTACCAGTTTGTGATCATATGATACTGGCTGTTATTAGCAAATCAATTTGGAAGTGATTAATTTTCTAATCAGGCAGTTAACTTTTACAATGAAGGACTAGTAATTCTGAAATTTAGCAACCCTCCCACTTGAGGTCTCTTTTATGTTTACACGCACCCTGTCAAGCTTCTGGGTTTTCCCTGTGAAGCTTTGAAGATTCGAGACGGAAAAGCTCAAGTGAAGGAAAATCACACAAACTAGAGTAGCTTGTGAAAGTCTCAGTCTCGTACTTTTCCTCAAACAGTCGACGCTGTGCCACTTTGAAGACTACAAATAAAAGCAAACAACTCGGGGAGAAAAGATAACGGTCCAGTGTGGGGTGAATTCTGTCAGACTTGAAGTGTAAGTTTGTTTTACCACCTTCAAGATAATTATTTAAAACATAGAACCTGTATAATTGTTGTCAGTCTACAGACCAGAGTGAACTGAGCTTTAATGTTTTTGTGTTTGATGAATTTTGTGTGTCTTAAAGAACTTTGTTTTGCCTGTCTGCTTATCAGCACATTTTAGTTTACTGTAAAATTAAGCCTCAGAGGGAGGCGGAACCCGTAAATATGATGTCTGATAACTTGATAATCTGCTAACAGCAGCACGTTTAATGAGAGCAGGTGCTCAACACTGACATTTGAAGTCAACCAAACCTTTGTGGTGACGAGAAACAAGCAGCTGAAGTAGGGCAGCAAAGTACTCAAACGAATGTTCAAAGTTTCTGCGTTTGCCAGAATACCACTAAACTAGGTCAGTGGCCTCTTTAAGATTCTTCATTCTCATACCAGTGAACACTTCTTCCACGCAATCTCACAAAGCGAAGACATGTGAGGGAGACAGAACCTGCAAAACTTGAACTGGATGGCATCTTGATGAGAAGAACCTCGTGGCACGGAGTTCTGGTGAGCTTTATCTTAACTTATCTATCAGTTGGACTTCATGGAAATAAATGACTATGCTTCCTGGATGTATAAACTCAGATACGATTTGATGGAAGGCACGTTAATGTCAGTTGTGTTGATAATACAGTGATTTCATCTGTTGTGGTGTCACGGAGCCGCTATGACTGCAGTCGCTTGTACTTCTGTAAATGTTATCAGCCTTAAACATGCGATAAAATAAATGAGAAGTTGCAACTAAACACTGCTCCTTCTGCTCTTCATGTGAGCCAGAACACTCCTGAACGCAGATGACTGAGGTGAGCTTTAAAATGTCATTTTTATGTATAGAAATTTCCATAAAGTGATTCTTAAGAAAGATGATCCTTGATTCATGAGCAGAATAACTTTTACAGCTGCTGAGTGGGTTCTTCGAAATAAAGAAAGATGAGCTGAGCTGAGATGAAGCTCTCCTCAGCTTTTTGGAGATGCATCATACTTCTTACGTTTCTCATCAAGTGTGAGTGCCACGTTCCTTATCTATGTATTCAGATGGTTCAAAGTCATATGTAGCAATAGAGATGTTATCAGTGCAATGAAATGCTTAGGTTTGCTATGTTTCTATCTAGCTCTGTGATTAACCAGTTTACAGTTTACACTCATTTAGACGCTCTTATCACTCACATGTACTCATCGGTAACAAATACGAGCATACAAGAACAATGCAAAAAAAAAAAAGGTACGTAAAGAAAAGCAGTATGTGCAACATTTAGGGTGCATAAAAATGAAGATCTTTTCATACGTTCTGAGGTTTTCAGTATTTATTATACAAAGTGCAGAGAAAAAAGGTATGTTCAGAAGAAACAATATTTTAAAAAATCGTCTCTCCTTTCAATTTAGTCGAGCTCAAGTCCTAGATAGTGAGAAAAAGTTTGGCAGCTGCTGTGGTTTTCAAGCCGTGGGTTGTACCGCAGCCGAGCGGCAACAGACTAGTGAGTGTTGCACTATTTAGATTCGCTGCAAAATAATCACAGAAAGCACGAGCATTTTGTCTTCAAACATTCTGTCTTATTAAACAGAGGAGACACACAGCTGTATCTCTGACACTACCAATGGGACTTCTCATAAACATGTTTGCTGTAAAACGTAATCTTTGAAAACCTGAAGTGCCCGTTTTTTCCGAGCAGGTTGGCCTCCACTCCCGGCCAGCTGCCATGCCCTGAACAGCCCTGGATACCTCACAGTAAAGCCGGATAAACTTGTCCTCATGGGCTCAAAGCTGACTGTGTACTGCCACATCACAGAATGGCCACGACGGTATGAATAATAGAAATACAGCACATTTTAAGGGCATACATTGCAATGTTTGTGACTAAACTTATGCATGATAGTCATTCAGATGTCCTAGAAAGTGTTGCTTTGTTGTGTTCTCTCTCTTGAGAAGAATTTTTCAAAGTTCAGTTCACATGTAGTTACATTACTGGCTTCCAGGTCACACATGTCCCTGGCGGTGGATGGTCAGACTGTGGGTTCAGGGAAGAAAATCAACGACACTACGACAATGTTCAACCTGACCGGTGTATGGAAGCCGCTGTCTGCAGTGATCTGCACGCTGAACAGTGATGGACTCTCTGAGATCATTGGTGGACTGAGTCTACGTGCAGGACGTATGTGGTCAAAAACAGTTGGGATTGTATAAATTTAAAAATAAAATGCAGTCTTTTCTGAAGAGAATTTATGTGCAAATCAGAATCAGTTTAAGTCCAGAAGGTTTTCACATATTAGGAATTTGAATGGGTATTTTGGTGTGTTAGAATAAACACTAAAAGGTAGAAATTTTTTTTTAAAAGTGTGAACAAAAAAGTTGTATGTTTGTGGATGTGAAACCAAAACTGTGGGAGGACTAATGTGCCAGGAACATAGGAAAGAGATATTATCAGTTTGCAGTCCCTATCTGGTGCAAAGTGTAACTTTCTCTTTTATTTTCCATTTTTTACCTCGTGAAGTTCCTCCAGATAAACCTGAAAACATCATCTGTGAAACAACAAGAAGCTCAGACTTAACACACTGTTCGTGGACAAGAGGACAAGAAACTCACCTAGACACGTCGTACAACATTTCAATCAGCAGGTATGGAGTTACATTAATGGTTTCTCAGACGATATATAATTTTGACTACAGCAAAGCTTCTTTTTTTGTTATCAGAGAAAATGGGACCCAGATACATTCAGCTCAAACACAGAATACTGAAAAAATCACCATACGACGAGGAATGTTAGAAGAAAACACTAAATACCTGATGACCATCACTGCTTACAACCACTTTGGAGATTCACAATCTGATCCATTCATCTTCCGCAAAATGGATATAGGTGAGCTCCTGCCTCTGTGATCTATTTATATCTTTATGAATGAATGCGCACAGTTTTTTATTTGATTTTTTTTTTTTTAATCTGGATATTAGGTGCTTTCTTGAGACATGAGTCACTCTGTGAAAGGTCATGTTTAGAAAGTTTTATGGTCACAGTTTGACTAATGTGACCTGACAAGCAGCAAACCTTTTTCCTGTTTGTGTAATGTCTCTTTGAAGGGAACAGTTAGCTATCTGATTCAGCCCACCTCCGCCACAGTGTCAGGAAACCTTTCAAGTTTTAACAGCCACTTCAATACCCTTGGCTTTCTGAAATATTATTGGATTCTTAAGTTTTATTCGTTTTTTGGAGATGTCATGAGGATGGAATGAGGATAGATATATGAGCATGCCTATCAGGCTCAGGGGCCCAAAGGGTCAAAGCGTCAAAGGGCCTTGTCTTAGAGTGTCTGATTCATTTCATGTTGACAAGTCATTTAAAAACACACACACACACACTCTCACAATTGATAATTCCACCATCTCACCTTCCCCTGGTGAGACGGTGTCCTCTAAATAAAATGTATTATTATTATTAATATTGTTATTATTGTTATTATTATAACAGAACTTTTTTTTATTCTGGTAGATTAATCGTAGCAACTGGACTTGCTTGAGTTCGTTGAAGTCTAGTTGCTACGATTAATCTACCAGATTAACCACGACCTGGATGACTGAGAATCTTCACAGACATTGTAACAGAACTGTAAAGACACACAAATACAAAAAAAGAGATTAAAACTGCCTAAAAGAGATGCAAAATGACCACAAACAGATGCAAAACCATTTCAAACTGAGACAAAACAGCAGCAAAGACTCACAGCACGTCAGTTTTCATTTGTTATCGTTGCAGTCAGTCTTCATGTCCTGTTTCTGTGTAGGACAGGTTGTGGAACATTTTACATAATTCATACATGCTTGTGTGCATTACCTCAGTGTTCCTTTGTGTTGCAGTGATACCAGAAACCCCTCATATCACACAGATAGAGTTTGGGAACAACTCCACAGCAGCCATGTTGCAATGGACAACCTCTGAATCCTCATTGCAGCTCAGAGCCGCCACCAGGCTGTCTGCAGATAACGTTTTCTGGGTAAAATGATTTTACAACACCAATGACGGCTTTGTGGTTATTTGCAGCCTTTATCAGGCAGTTTGCAGGTGACCTAATGTCTCAACGTTTTTAGGAAGTGAGAGAGGGAACAGAGCTCAGCGATGGTCTGATACGAGTGGACGACCTGAGGCCTCTGACTGAATATGAGTTCCAGGTCAGAACATGTTACTCAGCCTCAGGCCTGACGGACACCAGCACGTCCAGGTCCAGCAACAGGTCACTCTGCAGCAAATGGAGTCCATCTGTGAGGAAAACAACCCCAGGAAAAGGCAAGCTCACAGATCTAAATGCGATGCTGTGAGAGTGTGTTGTCACTCATTCAAAGCCAACAACATGTGGTTCACTTTGTCCTCAGGTCCATCAAAGCAGCTGCAAGTGTGGAGGATATTAGGTGGCCAAGAAACAAACAGGCAGCAGACAGTGACTGTTTTGTGGAAGGTAATGCGTCATAATTCTTTGCTGAGCCTGGACTTTTTTTAATGATACTGATCAGTTTGGTTATGACACAGGATTCATACTCTGCTCATTGATTACAAGGAAAACATTGCTGCAATGTGGTTTTCTTGTTAAGGCTTGAGGTGATAAGATTGCTTCCGCTGTCATATTTCCAGTTATTTAATCTAGTTTAATTTCAATTTTATTGGAAGGCAGCAGTTCAAAAAATATGTCACCTAAAGGGACAAACACAATAAAAACTTTAGACAGAACCAGGCTCGGGGAGAGCAGCCATCTGCCTCGACTGGTTGGGATGAGGGAGTGGTTGGGGCGGGAGACTTCAGGTGAAGAACAGACAAACAATACATAATTATATTTATACATATTTGTGCAGGAAAAATAAATTCCTCTTGACAGCGACTTCCGACTGGCCATGAAATAGTCAGACCCACAGCCCTTCATACAACCACAATTTGTTATTTTTTACACAAGACATGTTATTATGTGAAATTTTGCAGTGCAGCCCCATTTTAATCAAAGCCACCCATTCCCCCATATTTCTACACTTGTGCTAAGCTAAGCTAAGCTTTCTACTTAACTGACAGACAATAGGGTGGTATCAGTCCTCTCTTCCTACTCTCAGCAAATAAGCAAATGCCAGAGTATCCCAAACTATTCCTTTAAACATGCATACTGGCTGGACGATATATAGTGATGAACTTGCTTCTTCCCTAGCCTCCACCTCCAGAGGATTACAGCGGAGAGGTGAAAGAGTACAACATCGTTCTGGCTAATGACCAGAAACACACCTGTGCTGCTGCCATCAACTGTTGCTCAGTTCAGGTACCAGCAGGGGTTCAGACTCTGAGCATCTCTGTTGTCACCTCGTACGGGAAATCTCCACCAGCTCACGTAGCTCTCAGACACTCAGGTACAACAACATTACACACAGAAGACAGAAGAAGTCTTTGTATTTTTAGGTTGTGTAAACTGAAGCGTTTTCTGCTCAGGTGTTTTTGGACCTGTTCTGGGACGGCTGGCTCCTGCAGCTAATGGCAGCGCCTTGCTCGTCTCCTGGTCGTGGCAAAGCAGCAAACAGGGGTCAGCATCTGGAGGAGAGGTGTTGTACTATATGATGCAGTGGACAAGTGTACCTGAAGCACAGCTGCAGTGGCGACAACTGGCCAAAGATCTGAAAAACACAACCATCACAGGTACAGAATCAGATAGTGACAGATACAACAAATCTTAAAATAACACACAATGTTTAAACCAAAAATGGCACAGAATGTGTATGACTCAAAAGACAGAAAGGCTTCAACTGAGATCAAGCAGCGGCCTCTTGTGGCCATATGATGTATTACACTGGTTTCTTCTATTTATCACACCAGCAGCTCTAAAGGATTTAAAATCAACATGATACTCTTCATTAAGTTGAAACCCATGTTCCTGAGCAAAGCTGAATATTTGTTGAACATTTGCTTTCCCGATACTGTTTCAGGTTTGACTCCAGGTGTGAGGTATAATGTCTCTTTGTATGCTGTGACCACCAGAGGTGTCAGTGCGCCATCATCCAGCCTGGGTTACGCCAGAGAGCAGAGTAAGACTCAACATGTCCTCAGAAACTTTCTAAACTTTCTCAACATTTATTTACCAAGCAATTCATCTTTCACGAGAGACTCAGTCCACATAGCAAGTGCGTATACAGTGGCATCAACATCCATCAAAGTCTGTCTGTTTCAAAGTGTGTGTTTTTGTTTCAGAGCCAGATTCTGGTCCAAACATGTCAGTGCTGAGCCATGAGGCCCGACGGATCCTGATCCAGTGGGACGAGCTTCCTGTGGACCAGCAGAGGGGCTTCATCACAAAGTACACCGTCTATATTCAGACGCTGGACTCCAGCAACTCAGAACTAAATGGTGAGCACCCAAATGTAAATAAGAACGCAAAGGGCTTTTTTTCACACTTCATAACATTAGTCAGACCAAACAATTAATTGATAAATTAAAATAAAAATCAGCACATTAATCTAAAACTATAAGAATTGTAAATTACAGCCTCATGTGTAAACATGGTTGGCTGTTCGAAACCCAGAATGTCCATATTACTGGGTGGCGATGATGTGAATGCATCACTGGAGGCTACTTGAATATTTGAGAACATGTCTTATGCCTGTAGAAATTGGCCTTTCAAATACTGCTAAACCCCTCTTAATCAGCTGCTTTTTCAGATCTCTTGAACCTCTCCTTCACAGTAAAACACATGCTGAGTTTATGCAGAGGTTTTTGTAGGAAACACAACTTTGCGGTGAGTTTCCTGTTCTTGTACATCACGAGTGCCTCCCCAATAAGGTACTCATTTAACCATATGTTGTGCTTTACCTTGGTCAGGCGAAGGCTTTCTGCGTGTGCACATGTGTAGGAAACTGTGCATGCGGTAGTGTGCATATATTGTGCCTCAACACAAGCCTCTGTTACATAATGGAAAGTGTACAACCAGCATTCCATTGATACTCCCCTCCCACAAAGCTTCGTTGCATCAGCAGGGTTTTTCGGCTCTCACTTCCCGTAATGTGGTGAATTTTAAACAATGAATTGCTGGTTGATTGTTTCATCATTGTGATCAATAACTTATTGAAACAGCTAAACCGAGAACCTGGAGAACCAAAACATGCAACACAACAGCAGACTCAGGGGCTCTGCTTGACCTTTACTATTTTTTTTTTTTGTATGTGGTTTGATCGCGTGTCTCTGGCAACGTTTTCGACATTTGACTCAGGAGATACCAAAGTGGTGTTTCAAACAGTAGTTGTCATCATTTTTTACCGTGTCTTAAGAGTTTTCTAGAACTGACTTTGACCACAAACAGGAAACCATGTGGCTACATGCACACATGCATCAGTCACGGCTGTTACCAACCAGCCTGCATTATACACTATTTCTGGAAGTCTGTTGTAAAAGCACCTGAGTGCATACCTTTTTCTCTTTCTAATGTGTTCTGTGTGACTAAATGCTTTTGTTCTTTCTTTAAACTGTTTTAAAGTTTTACTCTAATTACTTATCTTGTTCTAATGCTGTTTTGCCTCATTACCTATATCCAAAAACATATATTACTCTTAGAGTTAGGTTATAAATCATGTGGTTGCACTGACAAAAACATGAACTTCATTCACACGAAGTCAGTTTCTTTACAGGCTCTTGGGTTCCTGCAAATTGAAGTCTTTGCAAATAAAAAAGAAAATCACAAGTGGGGACCAAGAGGGGTTGAGAGGAGAGAGATGTCCCTTCAGCTTTTTAAGGTGTTGAGTCTGTAAGAAATCCTAAAGCTGCAATGAATATAAGAGACGAGAAACCGAAGAAAATGTAACACAGCATTTTTGCAGTAGTTCAACTGTCTTTTTTTTTTTTTTTTTTCGAACAATTTACAAACTTTTTATCTACGACTGCAAGCTCGCTTCTGACTTTGGAAACAGAAAAGTTGACAGAACAATGTCACTCCATGCCCTAATCAGAGTGAGGTTATTTATTGTGTTCCAGAGGTCAAGAATTTACCTTTAGTCATAACATTCGTATTGATTTATGCTGCAAAACTTCTACACAGTTCATGAACTCTGCCTCATCATGTTGCTTGAAGTACAGCTGTAATGTTTGCATGGTTCCGGGCCGGCAGTCAGCTTTGTCTACCCAAAAGTTCGCTCAAAGGTTTAGAAAAGATTAGAATTTTGAAAAATAGAATAAAAAACATTTTGCTTCTTACTAGTGCGGGCAGACTGCAGCCCACCTCCAGAGTCACCTGCTGCAGACGACATGGTCCCACTGCTTGTAAAAAAATTACACTCAAATGCACAACATGCTCTGACTGGACTGAAGCAAAGTAGCGTTCAATATGTTACTTCAACTTCAATTATGTTTTCATTTATCACACTTCTCTGTTACCTTTACCAGTCCACTATAATATAGCAGGCCTGAACTGGCCCCAGCTTAACTAAACTGCGTATATTAAAGCTTAAAAAACTGAAATAAACCATAACTGTGTGAGCAGAGAACAACCCAACTCTCTTTGTCTTCTCTCCAGTGATAGTGCCTGGAACTGGATCAAGAAAAATGTTGCTGGACTGTCCTGAAGGAGCTTTGGCTCTGCAGCTGACGGCATCTAATTCAGCCGGAGAAGGACCGAGGGGGAAACAGATCTCCTCTCAGCCTGCAGCTCCTGCGGGTAGGTTTTCTGTTGCCATCCTTTTCTCCCCATCCAATTTAAAACAAAAAGAAGATTTAGAGGAGCTAGTCTGCTAAACTTTGGCATCTTTCCCTTCTTGTCTCCTCTAGTTGGCCTGGTGATTGTGATTGTTTTCGTCCTCACTATCTTCATAGGAATCATTGCCAACCTGATGTGCTGGAGTTGTGTGAGAGAAAGGTATTAATAAACATCATTCATGCTCAACATCTCTTTTTTTTTTAAATGAAAAATAAAAGCCATTTAACCATTTATTTCCCTTCATCTACTGCAACTGATCTTGAATGTGCATAGGTTTTGTTTCATCAGTAGCAAGGATGGATGTCACTGTGGGTGATTTCATGAAATGCCACACCGCAACATGAGCAGATGAACAAAAACCCACAAGATTAATACGAACAGAAACCCAACCAGGGAGTAAAACTTGTACTAAATGTGGTCAATGCACCCTATCCTGAATGTGGTGGGTTTTAACTGTGAAGATACTGGATTAGCACTAGCATCATTCGTAATGAATGCACCCTTCTGATGTTTTTCTTTTTGTTTTTTGGGGTTTTTTTGTTTATATCCTGCAAAATAATTCATTAGCAGACACTGAAAACTTAACTGTCTTTCTATCTCAGGATCAAACAGAAGTGTATATCGTGGGGACCAGCGTGGCTTGTTGAGAACCTGCCAAAAGCAGAACACAGTAATGCCATCAGACTACTGGAGGTAACCAAGTCGAAGCAAATTCAATTTCACCGTATGAACTGCTGGAATGCAGCAACACCAGAAAAGAAAAACAAACAAAAAAATAAAAACATAATCTATATATCATCTAGAATCAAATGCTATCAGTTTGCTGGTTTATTAGTCTGAAGTAATGTAGGAAGTGGTATGATGAATACTTTCTGCCTTTAGTCTCACTGATCCACCTACTTTGTTGTGTTGACAGCCAAATAAGAGATGTGATGACGCATATCTGTCTAACACATCTGCAGTACATTCAGATCTAACTAAGGCTTTGTTTTTGTTGATTGTTGTGTTCTGTTTGGTCTCCAGTACGACAGAGACGAACCGCTATTCTCATCCACCTATAGCGACCCGCCGCTGTCCCCCGTCATCATGATCTCTCAGGAGGAGAGTGACGAAGTCTACCCTGCCGTCCATGTGGAAGTGTCCCAGACCGGGTCAGGACAAACCGCGACGGACACACCTTTAGTCCTGTCAGAAACCGGGACGGTGTTTGTGGGTAATCAGCTGGAACATGGCAGCTACAAGCCCCAGATCGCTGCATTGACTCCACAAGAAGAGGAAGCAGAGGAGAACCAGAGGGATGTTCCACCAAATGAAGTGGACGATACATGTTCAAGTGTCTTTGAAGGATTACTGGGAGGCTTGTTGTCCAGTGTGGATGTGGATTTCTCTGATTCACCTCAAGGACTGACTCTCGGCTCAGTCAGTGGTCTTTTGTGGCCTAGAACTGCTGAGACAAGTGTCTTGAATAGTGGCTATTTACAAGACAGTAGAGCGACTGAGGATGGTGTGGAAACAGACTCTCCTTTCTCTCTGGATGTGCAAAAGGATGACATAATGACACCTGACACAGCAGATTTGTCTCTGTGTGCAGGTGAGACGATGCTGGATGGTGGCTACTTCCCTCAGGTAGCTGCTGTCAAGTGAACTACACTATGACGCACAGAGGTAGCAGGTACACAATGACACAAACAGGACTAACGGCACTACTAAACCGAGTTTCAGAAAAGCATTATTAAAGCACCACCTCACTTCAGATGATGATCTCAGAGTCTTTGTGTGATAGGAAGAAAATCTCACTTCAGATGCTCTGTAAATATAATCACTATGGGTCAAAAACAATGTTGTTCAATGAATAAAAAACTGTAGAGTGTTTTACGCTACTTACTTCCTTGCTTTCTTGGTGAGTTACCTTCACATTGAGTGGATTGCTGTTACATTTGCTCAAGATCTTTAAGGTGCCCAGAGGATACCCTGGGAGAAAGCGTATACATTGGAATATCTGTATATCTACTGGACTGACTGGGATTCATGATTCCCAGAGTATGTATCCTGATGTTTTCACAAGTCCGCTGATGTTTCCTGTAGCACCATCATGAGGTTGACCTTTATGCTTTTGGATGGATTGTAATCTACTTTGGCACATGTATGCATGTTCCTGCAAAAAGCCTCTTGAATGAAAGACATCTGCCTCAGCTGTAGCATAAATTCTAATTAGAAAATGTTAGCAAAAAAAATAAGATAAGATGTTATTAAACCTGAAAGGTCATAGAGGAAAAAAAGCTTTCTAATGTTAGCATTTTGCTCAAAGCACCCCCGTTCGTAAATACAGCCCCACAGAGCTGTTGCCATGGTTTAGTCTTATTATTAATGCACCAACAACACCTTCATGATGGTGACATGTAGGGGGTACATTTTTTTTTGAAGTATCTGGGTCAAAATTGCAGGTTTGGGATTTTCAAATAGATTGTGGTTTGCTATCTCTAAAGTCTTTTTCCAGTTACTTTCTGACTAAACCGTCTGTTAGAGGGGACTTTCTGATGAATCCAAGAACTAAGATAAAACTACACTAGAATTACCACACCTTTATTGTATGCTTCTTCCAGCCAGTCAAGTTGCATTTAGGTCTATCTACACTTGACTTTTGACCTTTTGAATATAAAGTGTCATCATTCAGTCTTTTAGTCCGTCAGACTTTATTTCTGTAGCACTAACAAAGACCTTTAAAGTTTTTGTAAACACACATGCAGCAGTTAAAGGTGAAATATTTTTTTATCACTTTATCATTTTATCATAAGATATTTGAGTGAAATATTGTCATAAATGTTGCATTAAACCTTGAGTTATGGCCAAAAAGATGTTTTGCCTTTAAAAGCAATACTCTAAGCAGTTCATCCTCAGTCATAAATGAATAAAATGAGTCCACATTGCCTGAAAAATGGTCGATAAATGACAAAAAAAAGTTGCCCAAACCTCATTGGTGGCTCCCGAGGATTACTGTTAGCCACAGTTAGCAGCTACTTATGCTAAGCTAAGCTAGCCTGCTGCTCAAGCTACATGATTGGAGTCGTTGACATAAAAGGTAAACCAAGGAAAAAATATGTGGGAATAAATCCAACATTCCCATTAATGCATCCTTTGACAAATGTGCCAAATTTTAAGAAACTCTCTTCAGGTGTTGAGATATTCATCCCAAAGATAGAGTTTGATTTTTATGAGGATGGGACAGATTAACATACATCAACATTTAATTAACTAAACCCTTGCTTCCAACTCGTAAATACTTTTAGAAGAATATACGTTACAGGTACAATAAAGCACCTTTATGCGGAAGCTTCTAAACCGAATACACATTTGGATGTTGAGAAGTATTTCTCATAATTCACATGAAAACATTCGATCAAAACAGTTTCCTGGTATTTAAAAAACTGTTATTTTATTATTAGGGTGTGTCCGTCTGTGTTTCTAATGTTAACTGCTTTGTTTTGTGAGCCGTGAAGTAGCACCAAGTGTGAAATTATTCCACAACACCCAGGCAGAAGGCAGTTGGGGCTTTCCCAGTCAGTGGGCCAGTGTTGGTATAGTACTGAACCTGAACCTTCTCACATGCACCACCTGCAGTTTTCATCACTTCCTGAGAGCTGTCTCACTTCCTCATTGAAAATCGAAATTTCAGGAGGGTCTCTCCTTCACTGACACACTAAAGTTGTTTAAAAAAAAAAATCTCATGTCAGTCATCTCTCATCATTCTCGCTGTGTTTTAACCCTTTCATTCACTTTGACTTCTGTATCGTTCTTCTAATAAAGAGGGTGCCGCTGCAGGGGGGAAGTCCCGCACAGCAAACACATGGGGCATGCGTTTGAGGGAGTGTGTGGAAAATGTGATGATGCAAATTTATTTAAGGGTTTGTTGGAACTCCCTCTTCAGATGTCATATATATTCCAAAACACTAACTCAACATCAGTCTGAAGAGTTTCCTCCTCACACTATAGAATCAACAGTCAGAGGAAGCACTGAAATACATTCACATGAGTATTGAAGCTACTTCATATTTCCACTCCACTACATTTTAGAGAAAACCTTTTGCTCCACTACATATATTTGACAACTTGAGTTTCTACCAAGATGAAGGTAATACAACAAGCGTTTCAAACACAACACACTGTTAATGTTAAATCAGCGGCTTCCAGTGTAGTCGGGATCAAATTTCTGATGTTTCTGAGCTTCCCTAAATACTAACTTTTTTCTACTATTTCATTTAGCAGACGCTTTTTTCCAAAGCGACGTACATCTGAGAGCAGATATTTCTGTGAAAGTTCAAATAAACCAATTTATCACCAAAAATCAAAGATTGGAGTAAATATCCAAGAACTGAAAACAGATTCTTGCACCAGAACTTCATTTTTTCTGTTTTCTTCTCCCATTAAACATCTGATGAGCCCTCAGATTATGATATCTGGTGTCCCTACATGTATAAAACTGTATAAAGAAGCAATTCTAGCAGCTGGAACAGTAACATACTGCAGCCACACTCATACTTCACTATTATATAACTAATATAATAATATATCTGCACGTCCTACATTTTACAGCAAATGTGCACTTTACTTGACTTTTATGCAGTACAGGTTTTTTTTTTTCATTACAATATTGATAGTCAAAAGAATCAGTCCTGTGTGGGATTAAAGACCCACAAAGAGGAGTTGGATCTTTTTTTTTCATTGCAATGTTTGCAATGTGTTCTGTGCACCAGTACAGCAAGAGAATATTTTTTATTTTATTTTATTTTATTTTATAGAAAACTATGCAAATATGGCAAAAAAATAAAAAAATAAAAAAAAAATCAACAACCCATAAAAATGCTATAGATAAATGATGGACTCCTTTTAATTTCATTCCATGTCTACATTTCTGAGCATAATAAGGAATAATCCTGCATGATTTTTCTGTGCATGGTGTCAGTCTGATGGCTTGTGATGTGGCTCTGCAGTGTCAGTGAAGTCACAGCGTGTCTGGCTTCACTCATCACCTGAGACACTTGCTATCTGTTCACATCACACCAGAGGCGGCACTCAGTCAGTCAGCAGCGAGCCTCCGCTGTTCCTGCGCCGCAGTCTGGACTCTCTGCTCCGCGTGAAGATGTTCAGGAGCACATTTGAAGACGGATAAAGATCCAAAAAAAAGCTCAGGAGGCGAAAAACTTATATGATATGATGCTGGGATGTGACGCTTCGGTGAGTTTGAGGCTTCGTCTTCTCCGTTTTGGCACCGTGGAATGTGGATTTACGCAGATCCCTGGCGCCGCATTTATTACACGACTCTGGTAAAAATATATGTAAATATGATTTTAAACTCGTGTAAATCAAGCATCTGCTGTCAAAAGGGGAATTCGTAAAGCGTTAAATTGTACTTCTTGATCGCTAAGATGCGCGTAATTATCTATTAAATACACTTGTTATCATCCGAAACATCATTTTCCGCTGCACCTGTGCTTGTTTTAAGGTGAACCCTGGCAAACAGATTTATTTCAGACCGTTACTGGCGACTCATGGCGACAATGTTCCAGTCTTGGTCCCTTCTCATCGCCGTCGCTGTGCTGGCTGTGCAGCTTTGCACTGGTGAGCTCAGATCACAGTCACACTTCTACCAGTTTTGTTGCTATTTCATGTTTTTCTCTTCATTGTATTTGGGAGTGAAACTTTTAATGTAGCTTGGAGTGTTCTGTGTAGATTCTGCTTTGGCTCTCCTTTCTGTACACTCCATGAGTTACATGATGTTTTACAAGTGGTGTTTAGGATGTTTGTGTCAAAAACGTGCCATGTGGATGAAGTTTTTGTGCAAGTCTAGGGTGCACAATTTCCATATCAGCTCCAAAGTTCCAAAAATTAAAAAAAACTCACAGTCTGTTAAATGATCTGCCACTGTGAACCTGCAGATGTAAGTCCTTGTTTGTGATTTTAGGTCAGAGATCCTGCGACATCAGGTCCACTGCTGGATCTGCGGTGCAGTGGGGTTCCAATTTCACAGTGTACTGCACCTTTAACTGCAAGTGCGAGGGATCCATGTTCTGCGACAGTCCTCCCACACAACAGAAGCACGAGAAGTTCAATTCTACAACTATATATTTTAATGTGGTGAACATAACAAAGACCAGAACGTACAGCTGCCACTGTGCGTGCTCCCCTCCACGGGACCCCTGTGGGCTGGACATCTCAGCTGGATGTGAGTATGAAGTGAGCAGTAAAGCACAGCGCAAATATTCATATCTGACACCATATTGTTGGTTCAGAATGAGCCAGCAGGTTTAATGTCGAATGAAAGTGCTAAATTTGCCTTCCACTAACCAATCGCGCTTATTCAAAACTTGCGTGAACACACAGAAAACTCCCTCAGGATGCTTTACAGTTCATCCATCTTGTGGTATGACCAACTTTTGGTTCTGCTTTCTCTTCTTCACTAAGCGTCCACACCGCTGAAGCCTGAGCACTAAGTGTCAAAACTAACTGTGAAAAGTTGCTTGCTCTAACTATATGTGTTGCTAATTTGAGAGTGAAAACAAGCTTGTATTTTTGACCATGCAGCATGACAGTTTCCTCAACCGAAGCACGCACACATGAACATGAATACAAACGTGAATATCAATGCGAGTTGTTCTTTGAAGATACAACCAAATCCTGATAACATTACTGCCTAATTTGTCACCTGTTGGAAAACTCTTTGTTCAGGTGTTGCTCCCTGTTCAATATTTGGGTTGCATGACATTCCTCTTTGTGTTCTTTGGTCTACAGACCCACCAGATCACCCAAAAAACTTTAAATGTGACTACAAAGTCATAACGAACGACAGTGGAGATTTGGTCTGCACTTGGAACAGAGAACGGGACACTCTGCTTTGGACTAGATCGGTGCTACGGTGAATCATTGTTCCCTTTACTGAATTTTCCACTTATCAATAATGTCATGATGCAGTATTTACTTGCATTAACTGACAAATGAAACTTGGCTTCGTGTGTTCTAGCGTGAGAACTGTAACTGGAAACCACACAGGTGAACTACACCGCGTCTCCAGTGAAGGAACTGAGTCACTGTCAGCTAGCTTCGCTGTGTCCAGATCTGTCCAGCTCCTCTCAGTGTGGGTTGAAACCCAGAATTCGCTGGGCTCTGTGGAGTCCCCGACCGTTAACTACACACTCAGTGATATTGGTAAGATGCTCACAAACTGTTTCATTCCAAAGATTTCAGATTGTGAGATGCAACTTCTGCACAGACAATACGGCTTGTTTTGCATGTGATGACAGTTTCAGGTTGTTTGCAAGGCACGAGCTCATGATGATTGTGACCAGAAAGTTAACCCTCCTGTTGCCTTCAAATTTACTGACATCTTTTATCCTTGGGATCAGTTTGACCCCAGCAATTTAAACCTCCACAAAGTGATCATAATTGAAAGTGTTACCCAAGTTTATGTGTAAATAGCCCTTTAAATTAAACTGAAAAAAATTATGTCAGTCACTTACTTAGAAACGTTAAACACTGAATGGGGTCAAATTAGCCCCCAAGGTAATCGGAGAGTTAAACCAACTTTGCAGTGAAAACTGTTGTTTCATACTGTAATTTTGAATGTGATGGTGGTTAACAGTCACACACTACTAAAAAGAAAGTCTGTTAAAAAAAAAAAAGAAAAAGTGAAAATGTGGCAGCAAGGATGCCAAAAAAATGTGTTAAAACCTGTAAGGCTCAGAAACTGTAAGGGGGGAAAGCATTAGCTTGCAAAACTACAGTCATTTACCAGCTATTATCTAGAAAAATCTGTAAATTAATTAAAAGAAATGTGCCATTTTTAAAATCCTTAATATTCAGAATTTTTCTTTCAAAATATGTAAAATATCTGCAAAGTAAAAATATCTTTGCTGATTGTAACTAAGAAAAAAAACCTGCAATTTTGAAGTCAAATATTGTAAAAAAAAAAAAATAGTAAAAAAAAAAAAAAAAAAAAAACAGATTTTTGACATAGATATTGCCAACAGTTAATTAAAACAATTAAAACCTCTAATTTTCTAAGTGCATCCTCCATCCTTTCCAATAGCTATCAGTAATCATGCAGAAGAAACTCATTTTGTGTGATCTTTGCAGCCAGTCCTGTGACTTTAGTTTTTAGTTGATCTAACCGATCTGTTGATTGCGTTGATCCGACCAGCGATGCCACCAGCTCCGGTTCTGGTCCAGCCCGAGTGCTCCTCCAGGGAATGTTTCATCAAAGTAGAAGAGCCTGTGAGGACTCAACACGTGGAGATCGAATACACAGCTGATCAACAAACATGGACAACTTCTCCAGACTCAGTGAGAACTTTTTACTCTTGCAGATTTTGACTATTTAGGGACTTTCAGAGAAATATTGCAGGTTATATGAAACCTTTGAAGATCAACAGTAGCTGGATGGTGATAACTCACAGGTCCTCTGCTGATTCAGAGCTGAAGACAGATATGAGTTGTAAGGTTAAGGTGAGCCAAGGTGAATTCACAATGATGCAGACACAAGCTGAAATTTGACCTTTTTTTCTCTATCATGTGTTTTTAAGACTGTACCCATAAATGGCTCATTACCACAAGCAAGAGTTTGAATTACTGAAAGAAAAAAAAACAGCATGTTTTATTGACTTACAGGTTGTGCAGATGAGCTCATCTCAGGTTCGGTCCGTCTCCTCTCTGGAGCCGTACAGGTTGTACCATTTCAGAGCCAGATCCAAATTCAACACAGGTAACTGGAGTGAGTGGAGCGCTAACATCTCCAGCTGGACTCAGGAGGAAGGTAAGCAGCCGTGCACTAACCTGCTGTTCCAGGAGAATGCTCAGAGCTCTACCGTTACGTACTGTTTACTGAATGAAAACTGTACTCATTCTGTCTACGAGCAGATTGCACTGTATCTCTGTGGCACTTTATCTCTGCAGACTTATCAGATACTGCAGTAATGTTTCCTTTCTTCTTGGTTTTTGAAGCAGTTAACCACTGCCTACCTATGAGCCACCGAAACAGACCTTATTGGGTTTTGTGTTGAGAACAAAACCAGTTATTACTGATAAGACACAATGTGCAGAACTACATACACTGAGAATTGTTCATTGTAGTTGAGTTGCAGCAGAAGAAGATGTAAAGATTCTTTATGGGAAGTATTGCTGCATACTTGTAATACTGATGGCGTGAAGATAAGCAGGTCTCTATGTATATGTGAGCTATGAATGTGCAGGACTGACAAACCATCAGTTTCCATGAAAAGGAAGCATAAGCAGAAGTCAAAAGCACTAAAGAGAGCTGCTGATGAAGGGTGTTTTACATTACTTCTTAGCACTTACCGAGCACATTAATTACGTGTAACCGTCTAACTTCCTCATTTTGCTGGATAAAAAGTGTAGAAGATATTCTCTATGCATCTGAGGAAAGGCTAGAAGTCCACACATTTGATAAAACATGATTGCTCCATCAACCACAGCTAAGTTTACATCATGACAGTGATAGTGAAATCAACTGACAGTTATTCAAAACACTTTCGAAGGAGCTAATACCACAATAAAGAATGTCTTTTCTTGTGAACGTAGCATCATCTGTTCACAGAAGTGCAGATTTTAATTACTAATTTGAAAACTGTGATGTCCGCTAGTTTGGTGTCATTCACAAACAATTTGAAGCTTCTCGCTGGTTGTTGGTTTAACCTCTAAAAACGCAGCTCTGCTTATCAAAGCTACATGTTTAAAAGTTTTATCTATGAAAATAATCCCGTCCTGCCTTAAAATGGCTTGTAACTCCACTCTGTGGCCATAAAATGTGCAGATCTCTGCAACTCAGCACACCAGCTCACCTGCAGCTCTGCTGAAACACTGTCAAACCACTATACGCCGTACATGTTAGACACAAAATAATGATTTGGAAAACATAATCCTGCAAGCTAACAGGATTTAGGTCAGAAAACCTTCATTTTTGAAGACGTGTCCTGTGGTTTGATGAAACTAAAATTGAATTGTTTGTTTCATTGCATTTGGAGGAAAAAGGGGGAAGCTTGCAAGCCGGAGAACACCATCTCAACTGTGAAGTACGGGGGTGGCAGCATCATGTTGTGGGGGTGTTCTGCTGCAGGAGGGACTGGTGCACTTCACAAAATAGATAGCATCATGCTGAAAGAATATTATGTGGAAATATTGAAGCAACATCTCAAGACATCAGCCAGGAAGTTAAAGCTTGGGTGCAAATGGGTCTTCCAAATGGACAGTGACCCTGAACATACCACCAGATTAGTTACAAAGTGGCTTCAGGACAACAAAGTCAGTGTTTTGGAGTGGCCATCTCAAAGCCCTGATCTCAATCCCTTAGAGCTGAAAAGGTGTGTGGAACAAGGCGGCCAACAAACCTGACTCAGTTACACCAGCTCTGTCAGGAGGAATGGGTCACAATTCTATCAAACTATTGTGAGAAGCTTGTGGAAGGAAACCCAAAACATTTGACCAAAGTCATACAGTTTAGATGGAATGCTACCAAATACTAAGAAACTTTATGTAAACTTCTGACTTTGAAGAAAGTCGTAAGAAATTCTCCAAAAAAAAATCTCTCTCTCATTATTCTGGCATTAGCAAATAGAAATAATTTTAGTAATCCTAACTGATCTAAAACAGGAAAAGTTTTGTCTAATTTAATATCAGATAGTGAGGAGAAAAAAAATGTTATGTCTTTTATGTCATATACAGTGTATGCAAACCTCTGATTTCAACTGTACATTTTGATTTCTAATTACTGGGCTGACACTTGGGCTGAAACTCCCCTTGTGTGGTTGTTGTACCTCATTTACATTTTCACTACTTGGCTCATCGCTGCAAAGGCAGAGCAATGCAGCAGCGTGGAGTGTTCTCGTCTTCAGAGCAGCTTCCCACATTTTGTACACAAATTACAAGTGACCTTTCCTTCCTTTCTGAGTTATCACATGTCATACGCTGTCATTCTGCTGCCAGTGTTGCATCAGTGTTACAGTACTGTTGCTGCTTTTGTAGCAGACGCTGTACTTTGGAGGATAAATGTGATCTCTTAACCATATTGTGCCTTATTAGTTTCATGTTTTTCGAATCAGATGTGGATGTTTGACTTAGAGAGCGTGTGGTTTCTCGGAATTGTTACTCATTGCTGCCAGACTGAGCCGCTAATGAGCGTTTGTCGATTTCAAAGGATTTCAAAGCATTTCACTGCTGACTGCTTCAACCGATTAGGAGTAAATTCCAAGAAACGTTGGTACTTGTGAAGCACTTGTTATTAAAAAAAATCACCCAGTTCTAGTTTCTCTGTGAAGTGAAATCTGACATCTTGGTGTTGTTTTATTACTTTTAGCTCCAGCAGAAGAGCTGGATGTTTGGTTCACCGAAGACTTTAAATCCAGGAGAGTTTACTGGAAGGTAAGCTGTCGGTCACGTCCAAATGTGTGGCTTTTTTTCACCTGAATGCTTTTATTTAACACACGTACCACTGCTGCTATAGTTTCATGAGGGTTTGCGGCCTCCATGTGTTCCCTCTCTCACCCTGTGTTTATGTGGGTGTGCAGCTCTGTAGCCATAGTAACACTTTCTGATCTTTAAAGATTCACTACTACTTTCTGCACAGTAAAGGTCAAAGCTTGACCACTTCTGAGGTGTGAAATCCTCAAACACACACACACATCTCCTCCCTCCACTACACACACACTTACATTCTTTTAATGTCGCATAACGACAGTGAGAGACGAGTGAAACCTGACAGCAGACACCGCAGTTTCAGTTTACAAGAAAAAGCGGAGCTGAACAGAAATGATGTGTCTTACATACTCATCTCGCGGCGGTTTTCAGCGGCTCAGCTGATGGAATCGATTCCTGTTCCCTCAGTGCGGTGCTGAAGATTTACTATAAAACATTTCTCTGATTGCAGGAGCCAGACGTGTCCATCTCCAGAGGGAAAATCATAGCGTATAAAGTCAGCGTTAAAAGCCCAAACTCAAGGGTTGTGCGTAATATCAGCGCTGATACCAGGAGTTATTCAGTCCCGTTCCGTGCTGACTGTGAAGTGACAGTGTGGGCTTGCAACTCCAAAGGACTGTCGCCTCCTGCCAGGATAACAACCCGTCACACAAAAGGTACAAAAAAAAGGGAAATTTCCAAGTCCTGCAACCAGAACTCCTGCGCTCAAACAAGGCTTAATTCGTCTTTGCAGGGATTTGATTAAACACAAATTACTTATTTGGGAACATGCCTCACATGAGATCATGACATTTGTATAATGTTGTGCTTTAATTGTGCAAACAACTCATTTGTAACTAATCAAATTGACAAAATTTCACCCAGCTGGTGATCCATCAATCCAGCCTTGTGTTTATGTCCAAAGAACCACATAAAAACAGAATCTTGCCGTTTTTCTGGGTGCATTTTTGTTAAAGCACTACATACGCTGGATCCAGAGTGACATTAGTGTCATTACACCTCTGTACAGTACACAAATATATATTTACACGTTCCTCTCTCCTTCAGTCAAGCACGCTCAGGAGGTGCATGTATCGGCAGGAAACTACAGCATCGCCATCTCCTGGAGGAAACCCAAAACTGCACCGCTGCTGCCGGCTGGTTATGTTGTGGAGTGGTACCCAGAGGGCCACCAGCTGCAGGAGCTCAGATGGCTCAAACTGGACAAGAACGACAACCAAACTGTCATTTCAGGTGGGAAGTTAAAGCAAAGGCAGGTGGAATAGATTCACTTACACTGAAAAAAGAAAATTGTTGTAATAACTTAAATAGATTCCTTCAATTGGTGAAACACAATTGAATTAAGTTTATCCAATTAAATGAACAAATAACAATAATAACGCTGGTTTAAGTTAGATGTACTTAAATCATTTAATTGTTTTTTTTTAATTTAACAACTTGCATTTCTGCAACTTTACTTTTAAGAACAGTCAACTTGAAGCTTCCAAGTTTTCCATCTGTGTTTGCTTTACTCAAATGTAAAATGTAAAACATGATTTTGTCGTCAGGTTTATTGTTCTTTCTTTTCTTTACTTTTTAATCCTACTTAAAGGAAGTTGAGTTGCAGCAGAAAATTCAGATCAAACAGTAAACAGAAGAGCAGAAAACCTAGTTTTCATACTTTGACTGAAATTGGAATACCAGTTTAAAGGGACAAAGTATAATTTCAAGTTGATAGACTTCATAAAAGCAAAGTGTCATCACCAATGAAGAAAGAGAAATGGGGTTCATTAATAGTACGTCACTTAAACTGCAGCTCAAGTAGAGTTTTTACAGTACAATTATAATTTCTCTTTTTTTCAGGATATTCCATTATGTTTTTTTGTGTGTGTTTTCAAAATGTTCTATCTTTCCTTCTGCAGGTATTAATGCATTTGAGTGCTATGAGGGAGCCGTGTCTGTTTTCTACAATGACAGCTCAGTGAGTCGGACCAGGTTTAAAAGGATCGCCACTTTGGAGTCAGGTACGGAGCTTTACCTCGGACATAACATCTATAACGCTTGAGATTGGGTTTACAGGATAGGTGAATTGAAATATCCCCGTGCCATCCGTCATATTCGTCAGTGTTTTTTTGTGTTCTGCTTGTCGTTTGCAGCTCCAGCAGTTGGTCCACTGATCGAAGAGAAGGTTAAGGGAAACGACGTGGAAATTACCTGGATGGAGCTTCCCAGAGGTCAACGCAGAGGCTGCATCTCCACATACAGCATCTACTTAGAGAACAGCAGCGGACACCGAGAGCTCTGTAAGGACAAGTTGGAGACTGTACCAAAATTTGAGGGGCAATGTCATTTTGTATATTTGCTGAAGACAGAATAGTCCAGTCTTGCAGCAGTTTCTTTACCCTATTTTTCTATTTTGTATTTGTGAGATTAGTTATTTATTTTACCCCCAAAAAAATCATCAAGAAATGTTTTCATGTGTGGCTTGATGTTCTGTTTTTTCAAATAGAGTTGATTTGGGATCATCATTTATTTAGCAGCTTTTTTTGTGTTGTGTTGTGTTGTTTCCATAAACACATTATTTGGAGATAATGCAGCAAGACACTGTTTTTAGACCATTGGGGATTAAAAAAATTAAAATGTAATCGAAAACTTTCATACAGTCTCTTATTTAACTGAAACTATGCACATTGATATGATGCTTACATGTAGTTTGCAGCGTGCAAACAGGAATATGACCCTCCAAGTGTGTGTTTGTGCACATTTTCAGACTCTGTAGCATCACCAAAGAGGACATATACGATCAAAGGCCTTTCTCCAGGAGCCTACAACCTGTGGATGAGCGCTTCGACCGCCACAGGAGGAGAAGGCCCTGCAGGGAATAAGGTCACGTTCTTCGTCGAAGGTAAGCAGCTTTTCAAATAAAACATAAATAAATAACAGTTTGATCATTTTGGAAATATGCTTAGTTGCTTTCGTGCGTAGAGATAGAAGTTTAACATTGCAAAGGTCTTGTGTTTGTCGAGTAGATATGAAGCTACTGCACCGACTTCCAGGAGTCTCCACTGGTCAACTGGCAACTGTGTTAAAAATAGTTCAGCACAAGTTCGCCTATAAAACCACAAAATAGTGGCTTTTAAAGTGTAGTTTTTGATGAAATAATAATGACATTATTGGTACTTACTAAGCCTTAGAGGTGCTCGTAGATGTGATGGAGATTCTATATTTTAGTAGTGTCATGGTGACGTTAGGTTATTTTGCATATAAACAAAGCTACATCTAGCAGTTAGGAAAAACTTCTGAGCGACTGACTCTTCACCTTCCCCCTCTGTTGGAAGATATGCAAGACAAACTTATGAATAACATTTGAGTTTATACCTTTTGCTCTCCTCTTGTGGAGGCACAGACCTTGTTTGTATGTGATCAATAGGCGATAAAACTTAAAAAGAGAACTGCTTCGAGGGAATTTACTTTATTACAGAAGATCCCTCCAGCAGTAGACATGCTAGGCTAGCTGTTTCCAGTCTTTATGCTAAGCTACCTGGTTGAACGATGCAACATTTTGTTTCGCAGACGTATTTGAAACTGATATCAGTCTCATCAAGCTCACTGAAAAAGACAGCTGCATCTTGGGAAAGAGAAAAGTTCCAGAGCAGTGGACATGCTAGGCTAGCTGTCAAGCCTTTACGCTAAGCTAAGCTACATGGTTGGTGGATGTAGCCTTTACTTTAACAGACATATATGAAACTAATATCAGTGTTCTAGTCAAGCTCTCCACAGAAATATTCATTGAGTTAAAAATCTGCTGCTTGTTAAATTTTTTTTCACACCTACTGTTGGCTGTAATGTTTCACATTCACACAGAATCATTAAAATTATATAGTTAGCATTAAAACTAGACGTGTCACGGGACATTTTTTAGCTTTAAAAAGTACATCGACTATGTTCTCAGCCTGTCCAGTCAAGTCAAGTGAGTTTCATTATAATTGTCCCCATACTAGTGGAAAAGATGCATTAAATGGCCTAAACATACATACAGAGCTGTTTCTTGAAGCACACAGACTACACATGTGTGTAGAGCCCTGGTATCAACAAAAAAAAGCCCTGTTGCATCACTTTATGTTGTCTCCTCGAATATAAATTTGGTCTCCTGGTAATTACAGGCCACAGAACTGCCAACAATCCTCCCTCTGCCCTCCAAACACAAACACTGTTCTGTGTGCACTTTGTGAACAATGGCTTGTTGGCTCGGATGGTGTGACACTAATAATGTTGAGGTTGTGGGTTTGACAGTTGTTTTTTTCCCCCCCACTCTCTGCGCAATGTGTTTTCGACATCAATTAGGGTGTGTTGGTGCCCTCTATTACCCCCCCTTCACAGCATTAGCTATGTTTTTGTGGTCAAGGGTGTTGCTGCCCTACATATTCAAATAGGACTCAGTACAATTAGTGCATAGCTGCTTCTATTTGTATGCCACATACAGCAATTTATTTGTTCATATTTTATTGTTTGGAAACAGCACATGCACAGCTAGAAGTAGAGAGAAATCACAGATGTCTTCAGTGTAGTATGACCCTGGAGCAAAAACATAAATCAGAAGAAACTAACACTGGAACAATGGTGACTCTTTATACAATAGACATTTAACTATTTGCATTTGTTTCCATGCTTGTCTGCACTGTGTAAACACTGCCTGCAGTTCAGCCCAAAAGTCCTTGAATTTCTGTCATGTGGCTGTTAATCACAGCTGAGTCACAGATAGCCTCACAGTCGCACAGAGAAGCAGAGATATTTTAGAGTTTTTTTAAAGAACAGGTTAGTGCAGCTGTCCAGAGTGTCCCCTGCCTTCGCCCTAAGTCGGCTGGGATAGACTCATAGA